GACTCTGAAAAACAAACTGAGGGTTCTAGAGGGGAAGGGGGTGGGAGGATGTGTTAGCCTGGTGATGGGTATTAAAGAGGGCATGTTCTGCATGGAGCACTGGGTGTTATGCACAAACAATGAATCATGGAACACTACATCAAAAACTAATGATGTAATGTATGGTGATTAACATAACACAAAAAATTTAAAAAATAAGAAATAAAAAAATAAATCAAACACTTGACAATCAGACCTAAAACTATAAAACTTCTAGATGAAAATATATGGCGTAAACTCCCTTGACATCAGTCTTAGCAATGATTTTTGGATTTGACTCCAAAAGCAAAGGCAGCAAAAGTATAAAATACTGGAAATAAACTAAAAGCTTTCTTCACAGCAAAGGAAACAGTCAACAAAATGATAAGGCAAATTACAGAATGGGAGAAAATATTTCCAAATCATAATCTCCCAAAGGGTTAATATCCTAAATATATATAAAACTCATACAACTTAATTGCAAAAAAAATTCCAATTAAAAAATTGGCAGAGGATCTGAATACATTTTCCCAAAGAAGACATATGAATGGCCACAGGTGCATGAAAAGGTGCTCAACATCTCTAATCTTTAAAGAAATTGTAAATCAAAACCACAATGAGGGGCACCTGGGTGGCTCAGTTGGTTAAGCATCCAACTCTTGGTTTCAGCTCAGGGCATGATCTCCAGGTCCTGGGATTGAGCCCCCCATTGGGCTCCATGCTCGGGGGGGGGGATCTGTCAAGGATTCTCTCCCCCCCTTCTCTCTCTCTCCCTCTGCCCTTCCCCCTGCTCACACTCTCCCCCTCTCTAAAATAAATAAATAAATCTTAAAAGAAAAAAACCAATAACACCTCACACATATTAGAATGGCTATCATCAAAAAGATGAGATAATAAGTGTTGGGAAGGATGAAGAAAACTGTGGTGAAGATGTGCACTGTTGATAGGAATGTAAATTGAAGCAGTCACTATGTTAAATAATATGTTAAATTTTAAGGAGTTTCCTCAAAAATTAAAAACAGAACTACCACATGATCCAGCAATCCCTCTGCTGGGTATATAGCCAAAGAAAATGAAAACTAGATATTGAAGAGATATCTGTACTTCCATGTTGCAGCATTATTTAAAATAGCCAAGATATGAAAACAGCTAAGTCCATCAATGGATGAATGCACAAAGAATATGTGATGATGGATGGATGGATGGATGGATATATACATACATATAGAATATTATTTAGCCATGAGAAAGAAGGAAATCCTGCCATTTGTGACAACATAAATGGATCTTGAAGTCATTATGCTACATGAAATAAGCCTGAGAAAGACAACTGCGTGGTATCACCTAAATGTGGAATTAAAGAAAAAAAAGTCAAACTCATAGAAACAGAGGGTAGAAAAGTGGTTACCAGGAGAAGGGGAGTGGCGGAAATAGAGAAAGTTTGGTAAATGGGTACAAATTTTCAACTATAAAATGAATAAGGTCTGAGTGTCTAATGTAAAACATGGTGACAATAGTTGATAACACTGTATTGTATAATTGAAATTAGCTAAGAGAGTAGGACTTAAATGCTCTTACCAAAAAAAAAAAAGGATAAATATGTGAGATGATGAATGAACTAATTAGCTAGATGGTGGGGATCCTTTCACAATATATATGTATATCAAATTAGCACAATGTACACTTTAAATACTTACAATTTTTATGTCAATTTTACTTGAATAAAGCTGATTTTTTTAAAAAAGAGTATATGGGAACTCTATGGACTATTTTTACAACTCTTCAGTAAATCTAACACAAAGACTTTTCTCAATGCAAATAATTAAATAGCACAGCCCTAAATAGGTCAAAAAAGAAAAAACCTGGTGATGGGAATTAAGGAGGGCACAAACTGCATGGAGTACTGGGTGTTATACGAAAACAATGAATCATGGAACACTATATCAAAAACTAATGATGTACTGTATTGTGACTAACATAACATAATAAAATTAAATTTAAAAAAAGAAAGAAAACACAAGGGAAATTTTAAAAACTCTGAGATGCATGAAAATACAGCTTACCAAAAATTACAGAATACAGAGCTTAAAGAAGTGCTTAGCAGGAAATTTATAGCTAAAATGCCTATACTAAAAAATATATATGTATCAGTAACATAGAAGAAACCAATAATATAATCTTCTACCTGAGGTAACTAGCAAAAGAATAGCATGCTAAGTCCAAAGCAAGCAGAAGGAAAGAAATTAAGAATAGAGCAAAAATTTGTGAAATAGCAATTAGAAAAACAATAGGGAAAATCAATAAAGTGAAAAGGTAGCTCTTTGAAAACATCAACAAAATTGCTATACCAGTTCTTTAGTTCAACAAATCACAAAAAAGAGAGAGGGAGGGAGGGAGGACTCATATTGCTAAAATCAGGAAAGAAAGAGGGGACATCACTACCTACCTTACAGAAATAAAAAGGATTACATAAGAGCGTAATGTGAGCAACTGTGTCAACAAATTATATAACATAGGAAAAAGGATAAATCCCTAGAAAGATACAAACTGCTGAAATTGACTCAAGAAGTTGAAATTCTGAACAGATCTGTAACAAATAAAGAGATCAAGAAATTAGGAATGAAGAAAACTTCTATTAAAAAAAAACCCAAGACTACATGCCTTCCCTGGTGAATTATACCAAACATTTAAAGAATTAACATAAGTCCTGCACAAATTCTTCCAAAGTAAAAGAAGAAAGACTTCTTAATTCATCCCATGATTCCCTGATACCAAAATCAGCCAAATACATCATAAGAAAGAAAACTACAGATTAATATCTCTACTGTGAAAAATGCTCAACAAGATACTAGCAACTGTATACCAGCAATACATAAAATCTACCCAGCAATATAAATAGGACTATACACCACATTAATAGAATAACTAGCAAAATTCACATAATCATCTCAATAGATGGAGAAAAAACATTTTTTCTTTATCTTCTTTTTTAAAATTTTTATTTAAATTCCAGTTAGTAAACATACAGTGTAATATTAGTTTCAAGTATATATTAAGTTATTCAATACTTACATACAACACCCAGTGATCATCACAAGTGTACTCCTTAATCCTCATTACCTATCTAACCCATGCCCTCACCCAACTCCCCTCTGGGAAACCATCAGTTTGTTCTCTGTAGTTAAGAATCTGCTTCTTGGTTTGCCTCTCTCTCTCTTCCCTATGCTCATTTGTTTTGTTTCTTAAATTCCTCACATGAGTGAAATCATATGGTATTTGCCTTTCTCTGAATGACTTAGTTTACTTAGCCTAATACTCCCTAGCTCCATCCACGTCATCATAAATGGTAAGATTTCATTCTTTTTTGTGGTTGAGTAACATTCCCGTGTGTGTGTGTGTGTGTGTATGTGTGTGTGTGTGTGTGTATGTCTGTACCACATCTTTATTTTGACTATTGTAGATAATGCTACTATAAACATCAGGGTGCATGTAATCTCTTCGAATTAGTATTTTTGTATTCTTTGGGCAAATACCTAGTACTGCAACTGCTGGATTAAAAGGTAGTTCTATTTTTAACTTTTTGAGGAAACTTCATACTGTTTTCCACAGTGGCTGCACCAATTTGCATTCCTACCAACAGTGCAAGAGGGTTCCCCTTTCTTCACAACCTTGCCAACACCTGTTGTTTCTTGTGTTGTCAATTTTAGTCATTCTAACAGGTGTGAGGTGATATCTCATTGTAGTTTTGATTTCTATTTCCCTGGTGATGAGGGATGTTGAACATCTTTTGTTGTGTCTGTTGGCCATCTGGATGTCTTCTTTGGAGAAATGTCTGTTCATGTCTTTTGCCCATTTTTAATTGAATTATTTGTGTGTTGAGTTTTTTGGGCATTGAGTTTTTAAGTTCTTTTTATATTTTGGATACTAACGCTTCATTGGATATGTCATTTGCAAATATCTTCTCATTCCATAGGTTGCCTTTTAGTTTTGTTGAGTGTTTCCTTTGCTGTGGAGAAGCTTTTTATCTTGATGAAGTCCCAAAGTTCATCTTTGCTTTTGTTTCCCTTGCCTCAGAAGACATATCTAGTAAGAAGTTGCTACAGCTGTGCTTGATTCAGCAGCACATATACTAAAATTGGAATGATACACAGAAGCTCAGCATGACCTCTGTAAAAGGATGACATGCAAATTCATTAACTGTTCCCTATTTTCTTTGAAAAAAAAAAAAAAAGAAGTTGCTATACCCAATGTCAAAACGGTTATTGCCTGTGTTCTCCTTTAGGATTTTGATGGTTTCCTCTCTCACATTCAGGTCCTTAATCCATTTTGAATTTATATTTGTGTATGGTGTAAGAAAGTGGTCCAGTTTCATTCTTTTGCATATTGCTGTCCAATTTTCCCAACACCATTTGTTGAAGAGACTGTGTTTTTTTCCATTGGATATTCTTTCCTGCTTTGTTGAAAATTAACTGACCATATAGTTGTGGGTTCATTTCCGGGTTTTCTGTTCTGTTCTATTGATCTATGTGTCTATTTTTATGACAGTTCCATACCGTCTTGATCACTACAGCTTGGTAATATAACTTGAAGTCCAGAATTGTGATGCCTCCAGCTTTGCTTTTCTTTTTCAAGCTTGCTTCAGCTATTTAGGGTCTTTTGTAATTCCATACAAATTTTACGATTGTTTGTTCCAGGTCTGTGAAAAATGCTGGTGGTATTTTGATAGAGATTGCATTAAAGGTGTAGATTATCTTGGGTATTATAGACAGTTTAACAATATTTGTCCTTCCAATCCATGAACATGGACTGTCTCTCCATTTACGTGTGTCATCTTCAATTTCTTTCATCTGTGTTATACAGTCTTCAAAATACAGGTCCTTCACTTCTTTGGTTATGTTTATTCCTAGGTATCTTATGAGTTTGGGTGCAATTGTAAATGGGATTTGTTCCTTGATTTCTCCTTCTGCTGTTTCATTATTTATGTATAGAAATGCAACAGATTTGTTTACATTGATCCCATACAGAAAACACATTTGACAAAATCCACCACTATTTCATGATAAAAACACTCAATAAACTAGGGAAGAGAAGTCAACTCCCTCAGCCACAAATAAAAACATTTCTGAAAAATCCACACCTAGCTTCATACTTAAGGCAGATATCCTGGGGTAAGGGAAGGAGGTAAAGACTACCAAAGAAATCTTTCAAATTTTTGAGAGAAAATGATTTTAAGCCCAGCATTCCAATCATTACCAACCTGTTAATCAAGTATGAATGCAAAAGAAAGACATTTTCTGAAATGAAAAAAATGTAAAAAATTTACCTTGTATGCACACTTTTCCAAGAAAGATAATTTAAAGTGTATTCTGGCAAAATGAGGATATAATCAAGAAATAAAAATATTTGGAGATGGAGGGCAAGATGGTGGAGGAGTAGGAGACCTGGATTTCGTCTCCTCTCAGGAATTCAGCTGGATAGGGATCAAACCATTCTGAACACCTACAAACTCAACAGGAGATCGAAGA